CAATAAAAACGTGTGTATTTTCTAGATAGTGTCATTAGCTAATAAGAACATGTGTATTTTCTAGATAGTGTCATTAGCTAATAAGAACATATGTATGTTCCAGATGTTGTCTTTAGCCAATAAGAAAGTGTGTACTTTCCAGATGTTATCATTAGCTAATAATAACGTGTACTTTCCAGATGTTCCAATTAGCCAATAAAAACGTGTGTATTTTCTAGATGGTGTCATTAGCTAATAAGAACATATGTATGTTCCAGATGTTGTCTTTAGCCAATAAGAAAGTGTGTACTTTTCAAATGTTGTCATTAGCTAATAGGAACGTGTGTATTTTCTAAATGTTGTAATTAGCCAATAAAAACGTGTGTATTTTTTAGATGTTTTCATTGGCCAATAACAGTGTGTGTACTTTCCAGATAATGCCATTAGCCAATAAGAATATGTGTACTTGGATAATATTTGAAATCCAATGCATACACATAACTTGAATTTCTCTGCAAAGTGTTCTTTGATATAAATATACAAATAACTAACTATACAATCCAAATATATGTACACTTTAGAATTTAGAAATATTTGGACATGTTATTTGTAAATCTGAAGAGCACGCCAACTAAATAATTAAACTAAACATTAGAAATATATGTTTTAAGTTGACCAGTTTAGTCTTTGCCTATTTTTAACCAATATGACCTAAGTATATTTAGGCCTTCAACAGATTTTTTTTTCTTCATTGTTTTTGATTAAACTAATATATATAGCTGGGATAATTATTTCTAGTTTTCATTCAAGATTAAAATCGTGGATGATTTTTACACCAAAAACGTACGTTTTACAACGAGAGTCTCTTCCAACTATCGTTGGGACACAATGAAAGTGACAACATACGAATTTCAATACCAAACATTCATGTTCAAAAAATCCGGGAATAGATCACTCTAGAATATACCGATAAGCTTATGAACAGCTCAAACATCACAATGTTCAGTATTTTCTCTCTCTCTCTCGCTTGAAATACCAATAATAGCTAATATCTAGTAAGATACGTTTGTGAAATAGTGTAAGGAAATAAATTCAGTGCAATGTTGATGAAATGGTAAACGTGTTTTTTTTCTCCAGAGTAAGTGTTGGAATTAGTTTGCTATATGTGCACCGAGAGGTAGGCGGATGGTGAACGTAAATGCATGAATGATGCAGTTGTTCAGATGGAAGAGGAATTTGGTCGAGTGTAAAACGACAGTGTATAAGTTCCTACAAACCATTTTATTATTTAGTAAAAAAGCTTGTAAATGCGTAGATAAGTTACTTTAGATTATTTTATGCGCAGAATCTTGGTCTAAAACTCGTAAGATGTAAAGAATATAGTGTGCGTGAAATTACTTCAAGGGAGAATACCGCGAAATGTATTAATACGCGTGTTCTCAAAATTCTACGTTATTATCTTCTCGGTCCCCCGGTGAGACTGCGATAAGTATAAGGACTTACAATGCCAAAATCCGGGGTTCGATTCCCCGCGGTGAAAACAACAGATAGTAGCTCCACGTGACCTCACTCTAAAATAAACGAATAATTATTTCATTGAGTAAATGTTCCAACTTTTGCTTTTTCATATTGGTGCGCCCCCTAGTGGCACAGCCGAACGTCTGCGGACTTACGACGCTATAAATCGGGTTTCGATACCCGTGGTTGGCAGAGCACAGGCAGCCCATTGCATAACTTTGTGCTTAACTACAAAAACAAGAAAAGAAGAGACAGTCTGAATGATTTTGGAGCTTGTGTGATTTCGAAAT